TGTGTGTGTGTGTAGTAGTATAGTTTAATATATATATATATATATGTGTGTGTGTGTGTGTGTGTGTAGATATGTTAATATATATGTGTGTGTGTGTGTGTGTGTGTGTGTGTGTGTGTGTTTGTGTGTGTGTATGTTTATGTACAATATAGTGTGATATTTATCTTCAATGCTTGTTAAACATTGTTCGCTTAATATTAGATATATATGAAAATGGTACTAGGAATTATCGAATTATGTTCCCAGATATATATTTTGATTATCTGTCATTGTATGATGTTTGGTTCAGTTAATTTAATTGTTCATGATTTCATGAAACGGTTCCGTACTACGCTCCTATGCCGATCACGAGTCGGCACAACAAAGTTGAACCCAATCACGGCGGTAGCATCTCCTAGTCTTCTTGGCAAAAGAAGACGCCACGCTCGGGGGGAATGATGATAGGTCCGCGCGATAGTAGCGCAAGCATCGGTTTGTACCATTGCTCATTCGGGAGGTACGGACACATGAGTGTGATATCTGCTCCGTCATCAATCACCTTGGTCAGAACACGTGGAATAGCTACCCAGGGAGGGTTGACCCACAGGTTGAGGAACGTTCCCAACTCTGAAAAGGCTCACCCTTTGAGAGATGCGGAGAAATACTTCGGCAACTGGCTGTTCCCCGAAAGCGCAATAGCATCATGGGTGTGTGGTCCCCAAACTATCTCGGCGGTCGTAAAGTGTTACGGTTTGCCATATACTCGCCACAGTAATGACACGCCGTCTGGGATTTGCCGATTTGTCCCCACCAGAGACCATCCAGGGACCAGCTTTATTGGCAAGACAGTTCAGTATATCCGCTATGCCGCTAGCTTTATCGCAGACGTGAGCAGGTAGACATCCTGATCACGGCAGACCTCCTGCCAACGGGCTTGGCACCGGCCTCTAGGGTCGTTTGTGAGGAACTCGCGATGTCACCGGGCTAGTATTTCTTGGTGATCTATACATATGGTGATTGGGTGGTGCGAGTTTCCAAATACAGCCCAATGCCTACGGAGGCCATAGACCTGCGCCAACCACTCCTTATCAGCAACGTGGTAGTTTAGTTGGGCCGAGAAGAATTTCGATGAGAAGAATGCGACTGGCCAGAGCTCGCCATTGTGGAGGACAAAAATAGCACTTCCTAGACCGATGTGTTCGCATGGATTGGCAAATCGATAGGGACTCTCACCCGGCTCAGATGTCGCTAGCACAGGACATGTCTTCAAACACGCATTGATCGTGTCAAACGCTTTCTGCTGAGCTGCACATCGTTTCAACCGGATTACCTCATTTGGGAGAGCCCGAGATGGGCTTAAGAATACGTGAGAAACCATCATGGTATCACGTTCATGGTATCACGTTCGTGCCCGGTCCTGGTTGTCCGGCCGATCTACTTCTAAGAGGCTTCCAACCGATCGTTGGAAATCGTGAAGCCCTAATATTTGCACCGACACCATATGACTGACGGGACGCTCGTGATATCCTATGCATGCTTTGGTACTGCTAAATTGAATGTCGTACGTGTCGCAGCGTTCAAAGAAAAAAATGAGCTCGTCCCAATGCTCGGACACGTTTCCAGAAGTAATGACAATAATGACAATATGTGTACTACTTGATGCCTTGTATTCCATCCAAGAGGCGATCCAATGTCTCTTAAAATCACCAATGCGATTCGATTGTACCAAAAGGGAGAGCGAGCTGCCCGCCAGGGTCCAGAAAGTGAGATTATCCTGACTTTCGTTCTCAAGCGAGAGCTGGTTGAGCCCATTCCTACAATGGACTACGGAGGCCCACGGCTTGCCGGCCACATGTCCGAACATCTTGCCTTCCGTTGGGACGTTGTACGGCTCTTGCTTAAGCTTTGTCTTCCACTTGGGAACATCGTTTCGGGATACTTCAGGGGCAGGTATTCGTGACTACGCACCCTGGCTAGGGGTTTCCCTTCATGGTGTCGACCTTCACGATTCTGTGCTTCTGCTTGTAAGTACGACGCTCGATCAAAGTCTCCAACACGGCGAGCTCTGCCTGCGACTTGTTAACCTCTCTTGCAAGCTGCCGCAGCCCGGAGATTCGAGGTACTGGTTTGCCTACCGATCTTGGTCTTCTATGTCAGGCTTGTCTAGCTCTTCCAGCGCCTGTTTGGGTATGTCGATACGATTGACAAGGTCTGTTTACCGGGGAAGATGCACTCCTTGTTCTACGAGCATGGTTGTTACGCCGACTCGATGCCCGTGCCAAAAGCAACGCGCGGAGGTTATTTGCGCGTCGGCTGCGGTTGGTCCACTCTTGGGGTCTGTACCTCGGAGCTTGTTGAAGGCTGCGTCACGGAACACCTACGTCCTAAATCCACTCGTCGCCTGTGGCTACAAAGTCATGATGAATGTATGTGGTACATGCCCATCACTCGTCGCCTTTTTGTCTTCAGGTGCGGTTGGCCCACTCTTGGGGTCCGTGCCTGCGAAGCTGGCTGGTGATATCGATTTGGCTGAGCGTTGCCAGCCGCCTATCGTCTTCGTCGTCAACTGTCGGGCAGAAGGGGTACACCTATTATGCGCCCTAGGCCTGCTCATGTTTATTTTGGAGTGGATAGTATTGTCCTCATCGTACTCATCGGAACTAGGATGTCCGCTGTTTAAAAAGAGCGAGTTCCTAATATCAGAAGCACAGGTGAACGTAAATCTAAAATTATGGAATAAGTAATTGGTAAAGGTAGATATTGCAATAATTAAAACAATCCAGAACATTTATAAAAATGCGGTAGTAGACTTTACAGTACGAAGCATTTGTGTGTGGTTTTTCTTGAAATACTAGTTTTCCACTCTGAAGCAAAATTTGAGACCGTGTAAGAGGCCCCAGACCATAGGTGTACCGGACTTCCTAAAGTACCGAACTGTCAGAACGCTCACACGAATAGACCGATGTGATAGAGATAACACATGTGAATATTAATACGCGATAGCCGGCAGTCTGCGTAGCTGTGTATGCCTTGAACAGTACCTGTGGTTCTTCTTTTCGGACCAAGCCCTAGGAGTAACGACAACACTACTGACTCTTTTACGGTGAACGTGCGAGTGTTCATTGCAACTTACGTTCTGATTAACACAGGGTACTCCCTAGTACTCCTCCTTTAATCTTTATTACTATTTTCTTACTTCAATGGTCTGGTAATAATCATTCCATTTTCATTATCTACAATGCCTAGTATTTTGTTTGTTCCCCTCACGGGATCGGGAGTGGAAAGATATGAAGCCTTCAAGGGCCAACTTTTGCATGCCACTTTGGCGCACCTGGAGGCGCGAATGGCGACTCGAGACTTGACAACAGCTGCTCCAGAATAAAGGGAGTAGATCCACCCGAGTGTACGTCGTATACTGGACACATGTTGCGGTTATTCTCCACAAGACAAACTCACGAACCCGGCGAAAGCTGGCTATTGACTGTCGGAAGAACAGTGGTTTATATGCAGACATCTTGACGGAATTTATGTCCCTGTTGCCCCGTCACATATTGGCATATGCGTTATTCAAATGGCAGAAATGCATACGTTGGATTTCGCGTCATTTCTCTCTGGGACATTGGGACCGGCTTTCCTCCCCTAACGACACCAGCAGTAGTGCTAGACAAGCAGAAGCAACAGAATGCTAGAGCAACAAAATTTAAGAAGGTTACCGCTGTGGCTGTGACGAGTGCCTTCTCTCAACAGCTATCGGCAGCGACATGTTCCAACTATATTACGCGGTGGCCCAGCATTGTGTATTGTAAGAGAAGGCGCGCGTAGTGAAAATGCTTCACTACGCTGATCGCAAGACTGGCAGCTCAGCAATGCGCTTGTTAATCTTAGTGATGGATGCGACCTCTCGGAAGTTCATATTCTTCACCGCGACACACCCTTAGTTTAAGGAAGAGGTTTTTAACCCACTTACCAATGCTGTTGACAAAATGGAAGGGGGGGGGGGTTGCAAAATTTTCAAGGACACGTTGAATGCACCTTCACTGACGGCCATCGACGAGTTCAATGACCTCTCTGGTGCTCTCGATTTGGTACGTCAAATGTGAATCACGGCAGGGACAAATACACGCTAGAAGTGGTCCCTATCCCAGACGAAGTCAATGTGTGAGCTCGGACGCAGGCAGGCTGTATGACCGACTGGGTGGCTATGCTGACCAGCGGTCGGATCGAGTGGCCAACAGCCAACTCAAACGCGAACGTAAGCAACGTGCTCAGAAGAATTGGCTTCACATTAGCGAGCGTAATACTTGGCAGTATAGCCAGGAGCAATATCGTAAGGATAAGCGAGACCGTCAGGACCGCAGAGATCAGGAAAAGATAGACAAACAACGATCGTATGCTCGATCGCGCTCACCACTGCCGTTGCACTCTGCTTCATTGGGCGCGCCTAAGGCAATTACGGACCAGAAGCACCAGTATTCGGCGTCAGGAGTGGCACCGGCACCTAGGAACCTAAGAAGGAGTACACTGCTTACTACGGCTGTAACAAGCAAGCGCATTCTCTCAATGAGTACCCGGATAGGAAGAAGACAGCAGCAACAGTTACCCCTTCGACGACAAAGCTCCCCTTTTGACGGGGTCCGATGGTCCAGGGTTTTGAGAACGTATGGGACTATTGGTACATATGGATGTTAGCAGTACATTCAATTTTATTTCTGCCAACACCGTGAATAAACTGTACTTACCTCACATAGGTATTTACT